TCTATCTATCTATCTATCTATCTATCTATCTATCTATCTATCTATCTATCTATCTATGGCATAGCCACAGTGCACATGTTAATGTCACATGGCAATTTTCTCTTTTGTTTTGTTGGTTTTTGTTTGTTTGTTTTTTGTTTTTCAAGACAGGGTTTCTCTGTGTAGCCTTAGCTGTCCCAGACTAACTTTGTAGACCAGGCTGGCCTTGAACTCATAGAGATCCACCTACCTCTGCTTCCCCAAGTGCTGGGATCACAGGCATGAGCCACCATGCCCAGCTTGTTTCGCTCTTCCTATGTGAGTCTTAGGGGTGCAACTAAGGTCATCAGGCTTGACAATAGATGCCTTTACCCCACAGAGCCATCTCTCAACCCAAAAACTGTCTTCTTTTTAAAAATTTGCTTTTATTACTTTTTCAAATTTTTATTTTATGTGCATTTGTGTATTGCCTGCATGTATGTGTGTGTTGGGGTATCAGAGCCCCTGGAACTGGAATTACAGACAGTTGTGAGCTGCTATGTGGGTGCTGGGAATTGAACCCAGGTCCTCTAGAAGACCAGCCAGTGCTCTTAATCATTGAGCCACTCTCCAGCTCCCAAATTTTTTATTTAAAAATATTTTAAATTTATTTTTTTAGTCAATTTGTGTGTGTTTTGCCTACATATATACATACAGACATACATCGTGTGTATGTATATGGTAATCTTGAAGGCCAGCAGAGGCCATCATATTCCCGGGAACTGGAGTTACAGGTGGTTGTGAGCTGCTGTGTGGGTGCTGGGAACTCTGGTCCTCTGCAAGAGCCATCTCTTTAAACACTGAGCCATCTCTCCAGCCTCCCAAACTATCACCTTTTGACCTATGCATGATCACCACACCCAAAGTCATATTCTTGAAATGTGAGCCCTGTTTAAAATACTGCTGTGAACCAGACATGGTAGCTGTCATTTGAGTGAGGTATCTCCTATAAGTCTTAGATATTTGAGTACATGGTCCCCATTTTGGTGAGTTTGGAGAGGACTATGGAGTGTGGCCTTGATGAAGAAAGTATGTCACCAATGGTGGGGTTTGAAGGTGTGAAAAGGTTCATGCCATTCCTAGGGTGTTCTGTGTCCAGCTTGCAGTTTAAGATCTAAGTTCTCAGATACTGCTCCAGACACTTGCCACCAGCTACTTCCACTCCACCACCGTGTGCTCTAACCTTCCAGAAAACTCTTTCTTCCACAAGTTGCCTTGATCACACTGTATTATCACAGCAATAGAGAAGTAACTAATACAGCTTACAAGCTGAGATAGGAAGCCGGCTTTGAGTTCAGTGTAGCCCAGGTTACACATCAGGACCCTGTCTCAAGAACAATCCCTGCCATGGGTGGTGGCGCACAGCTTTAATTTCTATACTCCGTGCTCCCGATCAGCCTGGTCCACTTAGTTCAGGCCACCCAGGGACACAGGTAGACCTGCTCTACACACCCACATAATTAAGCAACCTCCCACTCTGAGCTTTTCAGACCCTTGTTGACTCCCAGGTTCGTATCTGACCCCTCCACACCTCACAGGTCATGCTTCAACTTTCCTATACTGATTTCAGTCTCCCGGGGATAGAACCCACCCACCTGCCTTTCAAGCTGTCTTCTCTCCCATCCTGGCCTGCCTGGCTCTCGTTCCCACATGGTACAACTTTCATCCTGATACAGTCATTCTACCAGAAGCCGTGTGAGGTGCCTCCCCTAAGAGCACCCACAAAGACCTGGCAGTTAGCAGGTTCTGCCATACTTTGTTTTACTTATCTCCACATTCAGATACGGTCTTTGAAAGAGTCTTTGTGTGCGGAGTGTGCTCCACTGTGCTGGTGCACCCAGTTCCCTAATCACCTTACCACACCTGGAATGTACTTATTCTCGTCTCTTCAGCGTGGACTTTGATCTTCTTCCCTTGTGTCAGTGTTGTTCTAGAAAGAGGTAACCTGACTTCTCCAAGTCCCCACAGGCATGAGAGTAGAAAGCCGGTTGCTGTAGCCGGAGTTCTGTGTGCACAGTCAAGGCTGAGCCACCAGGACTGTGCACAGACTGCCACTGTGGCTGTCTCCTTTTGCCTTGTCACAGAACCTCCATTTCATTTGGGTTGGCAACATGCCCGGTTAATGTTTCCAGCTTCTTTCGGTTACTTGTACCAGGTGACTCAGTTCGGTAGCATTTCCAGGTGGCTTCAAGTAGCTCATAGACCAAATGACTAGAGCACCAGCAGCCACCTTAGGCTATGAGATATTTTTTTAATTAATTTATTTTCTTTCTTTCTTTCTTTCTTTCTTTCTTTCTTTCTTTCTTTCTTTCTTTCTTTCCTTCCTTCCTTCTTTCCTTTCTTTCTTTCTTTCCTTCTTTCTTTCTTTCTTTCTTTCCTTCTTTCAATGTGGTGGTAACAGAAAGTGTCATTAAGTCACACTGAACATTAGAACTTCATGAATGTGCAGCCATTCCCACCCATGGGGCCCTGGGTCATGATTCAGGAGCATCAGCCAGCATGGGTGATATAAACTGTGTTTTTATTTGAACATCATTCCACCTGCACTGAAGCTCAAATCCAGCAGCAGCAGAAGGGGTTGGGACCAAAAGAAATGTTACCAAATTGGACAATGAACATCGAGGACACATTCAGACAGAACTTACTAATGGGGCGTAGACAACACCAAGCTACCCTAACACACAGCACAGGTCTTGCAGAGCTGCCAGCTCCTGTTCTCCTCTCAGGAAAACTCCAGTCCCACCCAAAAGCTAGCTCTGAGCCAGACAAGAACCCACAGAAGCCCCTTGTGCTAGAAGGAGCCCAGCCCCTCCAAAAAGAGGGTTTCCTTTTTTCGGTGCACACCAGAGGCTGGAGCAGGTAGGGCTAGTGCCCTCTGTGCTCAAGTGGGACTCTTTTAAAACAGTCCTGAACTCCTCACAGAGCACCATCTGCAAACCATCACCTTGGCTCTTGCAGGCCACAGAAAGATGCTCATCTTGCCCCACATGCTCGTGCCTTTGGGAAAGCTTTCCTCCATAGCTCTGGTCCTTAGGGGAGAGCATTCTACTTCCCAGGGTCCCAAGGACTAGTCTAAACAGTGCTTTGGACCAGCGACTGGACCACATTGAGATTATAGCTCCTTTCTCCACCCTCTGCCAGGAGCAAAGAAAGCCACAAACACCAAACACCAGCCCATCCAGCTTCCTCAGGACTTTCAGGGACCCAAAGCCAGGATGCTCTTGGTTGGGGATCAGAAACAGAGACATTGATCTCCATAGCTCATTCTTTCCCAAAGGCTAATGCCAGCTCACCTGGCCTAATTGTACCATGTCAGCTGCCAGGAGGTGGGTGGGAGCCTCAGCTGAGTTACTGGCCAGAGCATCCATTCTCTCTGTCTCTGTAAGTCTTCAAGACCACACTTTGGTCCCCACTCCACCTCTCTTCTGTCCCTATGCTGCCCTGGGGCTCCTGCAGACTGCAGACTTCAACCCACTGGCCTGAAACTCCACGCTGCACCTCCCAAGTGCAGGGCAACACAAAGGAATGTGTTTCCTTCCTCCGAAGCAGCCTGATTGCTGCACTTCTACCATCCCTTATATGTACGAACACACTCCTTTACAAAGGAACAGAGCTGCTTGGACCACAGACCTCCAGCCACTTGGCCTCCTATGGGTCAATTCTAACCTGCCCACCAAAGCACAAGGAACCCCTTGGGCAGCAGGTGTCCTTAGGGGAACAGATTCTTCAAGCACCCACGTGGCTGCTCTCCTCAAACTCTGGTGTTTCTTCTTCACCCTCCTACTGCCTTCTTTCTTCTTATTCTTCCTTACAGCAAATCACACCTGCTTTGGCTGCCCATCCATGGAAGCCCCTTTCCAATTCTTCACTTTTCCTTCTCCATCACTGCATGCGTCTCTCCAGATCCCTCCTGGAACTCTCTCTCTCTCTCCCTCCCTCCCACTGTCCCTCCCTCAACATGCCTGTCTCCTGTTTCCTCTTTGCTTCTATGGCTCTGCTCCTGCCTCGTTCCCAATCAGCCACCCACTCCCGGCCCTTTTCATCACTACCTGACCCCCCTCCTCTGGTTTGAATCTGAAGAACTGACTCCCGCTCTCTTCCCCCTCAAACAAGGCTCCCCAGCCCTCCCTGTCCATTCCCAGTTTCCTGGCCACCTGCTGAAGATGGCTCCAGTGCTGTGGCTCCAGGAAGGGACCAGGCGGGGGACAAGTGTGGGGCTATACAAGGGCAGTGGTCAAAGCTTGGGAGAAGGTGTCTGCCCTGGAGGAGATATGGGGAAAGGTGGATTTGGGGCCTGGAGAGTTCCAGGTGTCAGGAATCCTGCCAAGAACCAGCATCAGATTCCAGTTAGGGTTCTGATGAGGCAGGCTTAGGTCATGGGTCTTGCCCTGGAGTCCTAACTCTCAGCTCTAAGTCCTATGAAAATGAACACAAGGACAACAGATTCATGGACTAGCCACTCTTCCAACTGCAGCTGAGGTCCACATCATACACAGAAGTGACAAGCCTCCTGTAGAGCCTCTAGGGGGCACACACTCCTCCACACAGGGACCAAGCAGCAGGTGACCCAGGAGACATGGTGTTAGATAAAGGTAGTCCGCCCCACCCTCTCCACAGGGGACTGAAGGCTTGTCCATGACTAGATGGCTCTGCCACCAGTTAGGTAACCAAGGATGGTTAAAAAAAAAAAAATCACCTGGAATCTCCCTCATTTTCTCTCTGCTGAGGGGGAGGGAGTAGCCCCTACGGTGGGAGAAAAAGAGAGAGCTTCTCATCTGCCCTTCCCTAGCACACACGCACACACACTCGAACACACACTCGAGCGTGCGCACACACACACACATACACACACTCACACACATACACACACACACACACACCTCAGCTCCAAGCACTGCCCATGAGGTTGCAGACCCTGGGCATATCACAAGGCGAGAAGTGGGCAAGGAGAAGAAAGAGGCAGGGACTGGGTAACAGGGTCTGGGCTGGGGACAGGGGTACCCTGTTCAGAGGTGACCTGCAAGTTCAAGTTAGGCAGAAAAGTATCAAAGACACAAGACAGTCTCTGCCTTTGGCAGATATCCGGGGTGTAGGAAGCATGAGAAGGGGAGAAGTTTCCTCTAACCCCGCCTCTGTGCCTCTCTCCACAGCCGCCAACCCTGACGGTGGGCCCGAGAAGTCTATGATGTACAAAACAGGCCTGGGTCATGGGTCATGGGTCGTGAGTCCAGTCACTGGTGAGCTATCCCAGTGGAGAAGAGGCCAAGCCAGCCCCAGGCTGGGGAGCTGCAGCTGCTGAGAATAGCTGCCCCTCCCACAGCCTCCAGAGCCCGTGTCTCCCCTCAGACTCTGAGCTAAGGAGGGACTACCAGCAGCAGAAAGGAAGACCCTGTGCTTTCTCCCTCAGCAAGGCTCAGATTCCTTTGAGAGCTGGGTGCAGGCTTGAATTTGGGAGTCAGAGGAGGCCCCGTCGGGGGGGCTGGTGGCACCTGGAGCTTTGTGGCAGATGTGGTGGGACCATCATCAGCAAATAAAAATAAAGTAGGAAAGAGTCTGGCCCTCCTGGGGCAGTGTCTTGAATAAGTCTCTTTAGGAGACCGGGACTGAGGAGGCAAGGACGCAGCAGGTTGCCCTCCAGACTTGAAGGGGTCCGAGGAGATTGCACAGCAGGTCCTCCTTCCCCTGGAATTCCTCAGGGACCTCCAGATAGTCTACATGGGAGAGAAAGAAACCAAGGGACCAGAGAGGGAGACCCAGGCTCCCTCAGGTCAAATGGAGGCAGGGCCGGAGTCAGGCTCTCTCAGGATCTCAAGTGCCTCTGCCTTCTGCCAGGCTGCCACCCAACCCTGCCTCTCTTCGGAGTCTGGAGGTTCATGTGCAGTCAGTCCGAGATTTGGGTCTGGAGCTTGAACGCAGGAATGGGAGGGCAGCAGACGGAATATGCCGAGGTCAGGCCAACTCCTGAGCTACAATCCTGGCTTTCAGGGTCCCTGTGTATGAGCAACGGGACATGGCAGGACTCCCCATCCAGAGACGTCGCCTCCAGGCCGCAACACAGAACTTACTGTAGTGCCCACGAAATCTGTGGGAGGAAGGGAGAGGGGGAAGAGGGAGGAAGAGAGAGAGAGTCAGGGAGGGAGAGAATGTTAGAGTCTGTTAGGTCAGAGCTGTCTCCTTAGCCACTACCCACAAGCAAGTTGTTGGCCGGCAGGTCAACCCTGAGCACACCATTTAACCTGTGAGCTGCCATGTGTGAAATAAAGACAACCCTCCTACTTCTGAAGGGTCAGAGATGCCATGCAAACTTGGCACACGGTAAATGGTGGTGGCTTGGTTTATTTTCACTTTGGCTCAGAACTGACCCGTAGCATCTACCTTCATCCACCGGTGAAGGATGGAGATCTCTTGGCATTGAAGGAAGCAGACCAGAGTTCTATGGGGGTGGGGGTGGCGTTGTTTGAAAATCTTTTGTAACCTAGGCTGTCTTTGAACTTACAAGGTAGCAGAGCCTAGCTTTGATCTCCTGATTCTCCTGCCTATGCCTCCAGACTATGAAGATCACAGGTGTAACACCAGCATGACTGGCCTCCCACATCGCTCTAGCAGTGAGCTGTGGCTGGGCCAGCTGGCTCACATCTTAGTTGCATGCTCAAGAGGCTGAGGGAGAAGGCTTGCCACAGGTTTGGGGACAGCCTGGGATACATAGTGAGTCCCAGTGTATCTTACTCTACACAGTAAAGCCATGTCTTAGAAGTGACTGAACTTGTGAGGGAGCCCCTCTGGAGAAAGGAGAGAGACATGGCGGCGTGTAATCATCGCTGCTGGTTAAATCCATCCAGGCTTCTGAGAAGCCACAAATAGGTTTGGTCTTGCACTTCTGAAAATTGCCACCAGGGGGCAGGTCCTGCCCTCAAACCAAGACCAAAAAAAAAAAAGCCCCAAAACAAAAAAACTACAGGATTGGAGGGTTCTGTGGGAGGTTTTAAGGTCTGATTGGCAGAGGCGTGTCCCAGGATTGTAATAAAATGGGACAGGAAACCAGAGGGAGGAGCTGGCACAAACCTGTAATCCCAGCACTCAGGGAGGCAGAGGCAGGCGGATCTCTGTGAGTTCGAGGACACTCAAGGCTACAGAAAGCGGCCCTATCTGGAAAAACAAACGAAAAGAAAAGGGGTGTGGTGGTGGGGCAGACAGAAAATGTCTAGCCTTGGGCTGAGACAGTGACTGCGAGGAGGAGACTTGGCTCTTGAACCTGCGCTCAGGTCCTGACTGCAGCACTTCGAGGGTTTTGGCCCTGGCTCTCCGCCCGCCCCCGACCTTGTTCTCATCTGTAAAACAGTTCATAATCTCTGCCTGCGGAGGCCTGTGAGGACTGAGAGCTTGGAGCATTCCCCCAAGCCACTGTGCAGGCCCAAACTCTCCCCTTGCACGACAGTCTCCGGAGACGGTTCTGTTCTCATCACCCTGGTTTTATCAAGTGTGGGAGACTGAAATTCGAGGTCAAGTAATTTCTAGGCTAAACCTGCTTCCATTATAAGCTGTGCTCATCATCCAAGACTTCAAGCACAACACTGAGGCCTCCTGCCAGATGCCTGGATACACAGCTGTGGACATTATCTCATCTAATGCCACGGTCGTGAGCGGAGACCCCTAAGAAATGACTATAATGAATCTGGACATTATATTTTACTTCTGAAGACCCCCAAGAAAACCCTTGTGCGTGTGTGTGTGTGTGTGTGTGTGTGTGTGTGAAGTCAGAAAATTGAGGTCCACTGTAGCACTATCAGGAATCCTCAGCTCTTCTCAAGTAGGGTGAAGAATTAAATAAGCCATCATTCAATCTGTGTGACATGTGTAGTGGTTACCTCTGAGATTCTGGCTTTCTGTGCAAATTGTGTCTTGTTTAAGACAGGATCTTGATATGTGGCTCAGGCTGGCCATGAACTCATAATCCTCCTATGCCAGCCACAGGAGAGCAGGGATTATGTGGGTATGTATGACTAGAGTTGTTTAGTTTTTTTTTTAATGAAATGAAATTTATTGTTTATGCTTGTGTGTGAGGGCGGGGTGTGTGTGTGAGATCAGAGTACAGCCTGTGGGAGTCCGTTCTTGTCTTCTATAGTGGGTTCTGGGTATCAAACTCAGTTATCAGACCTCTGTAGCAAGCCATCTTGATGGCCCTAAATTGTTAAATTGTTTCTTTGTTGTATTTTGCTGTTATTTAATATACACAACATGTAATATACCAACTGTACAGCATGGTGTAATAAATTGTGAATGGCACCATTTGAAGCTGTAACTACTGAAAATTTGCATATACTAACAAGACCCAATCTCCTGCCCCAGATTTCTCCCCTTCAGCCCCAGCCTCAGCTAACTGCCCTCCTAGCTTCTGTATTTCTCAATTTTAAAGCTATCATTATTTTTTTATGTATGTATCTCTGTGTTAGTGTGTTCAGATAGACACCTGTGGTAGCCAAAAGAGGGCTCTGGCTCCCCAGGCTCTGGAGTCACAGGCAGTTGTGATGGATGCTGGGAACCAAACTCAGGTCCTCTAGAAGAACTGCAAGTGCTTTGAACTGCTAAGCTATCTCCCAAGCCCCATTATTTCTTTGTTTTTAATAAATACTAAATATATTGATTATACATTTAAACATATTATTAAGTATATATATAAATTAAATATATAATAGATTTAAATATATAACATATTTGTGTATATTTAAATATACATTAAACCTGGTGTGTTGCTGTAGGCCTGTAACCTCAACACTTGAAGATGAAGGTTATCTTTGGCTAAAGAGTGAGTTAAAGAACAGCTTCAACTATGTGAGATGCTGTCTAAAAAACAACAACAAATGTGTCGAGGATGGTGGCTCAAGCTTCAATCCAATACTTCAGAGGTTATGGCAGGAGGAGTGCTGGCTCTTTCAAGCCAGCCTAGAATAGAGTAAGAAGCTATCTCCATTTTTATTTTAATTTTGTTTAAAAATTAAAATAAATGTGTTTAAGCCACACATTCTTTACATTTGCTTAGCTTGGGGCTTAATAAACACACTTCTCTGTCACTTCTGAACTTAACTCTTCCCTCTCCACGAGCTGTTTCTTAGGCGCCCCATCCCCTCACTTCACAGCCTGGGGCATGGGATGATGAGACCCCACAACCTTTGAACCTCAGCTCCCGTTGTCTAATTATTTTCAGGCCCTCTCCTATTCTCCTCCTTCCCTCCCTCCATCCCTCCTTCTCTCCCTCCATCCCTCCTTCTTTCCCTCCCTCCCTTTTTGTCTCTCTCTCTCTGCCTGTCTGTCTCTGTCTCCCTGTCTCTCTGCCCCCCCCCCACCATGTGGGTTCTGGGGATCAAAATCAGGTCATAAGCTTGACAAGCAAGTACCTCTACCTGTTGAGCCATCTTAATGGTCCCTGTGTGTAACTTTTAAAAATCATTTTCTAACTTTTATTTTAAGTGTGTGGGTGTTTTTGCTTGAGTGTGTATGTACACCAAGTATCGGTGCCAGAGGAGGCCAGAAGAGGGCGTTGAATCCCCTGGAACTAGAGTTAAAAGTGGTCTTGTGTCTTCCTGTGGGTGTTAGGAATCAGGCCGGGTCCTCTACAAGGGCAATCAGTGGCCTCAACGGCCAAGCCATCTCTCTATCTCCCTGTGTGCACTTTTTGCTTTCCTGCTTTTGTTTTATATGCAGCTGTCCTGCCCCTCTGCCCCCGCAGCCCTCGAGCCCACACACTTGCCTTTGCTCTCCTGTTTGAGCTCCTCCTGCAGCAGGTCCGTCTGCCGGTTGCCCAGCACGAAGGCGAGGAAGGACAGGATGAGTGCGTTGAGGATGCCGATGATGGCCAGAATGTACGCCCAGCGCACCGAACAGTCTCCAAGGGAGTACTTCCCCGTCCTGGCCCCGCACATGTCCCGGATGGTCTCAGCGTCCCAGCCATCAGGGAAGATCATGCAGCCCAAGACGAGGCACAGGGCTGGGCATCGGGAGCGGAACCCACACGGAGGTCGGGTCAGGAAGAAAGAGAAGGGCATTATTACTTCCTAGAAGCGAGGGGGTGGGGTGGGGATTGAGTCCTGAGAATTCCCCCAGCCCCATCTAGCAACCTGAACACGTGGTAACTAACTACTTTTCCTGCGTTGGGACTTGGACATTGACCCAAAGAAACAGAAACTGGAACCCCGGACCTCTTCTGCTTCACCCTGCCTTCAAGGAATAAGGAAATTCCAAAGCATGGCCACGCCCCCTAACGTCCTCTGGTTCCTCTTATTCTCCCCCATCCTCACCACTTCAATTTTTGTGAGTTTGGCTTTGGTTTGGTTTTTCTTTTGTTGTTCATTCGACAGAGGTTCACTGACAACCACTATGCGTCCCTTTAAAGACGCTAGCAAACAAACTGAACAGGGTGAGAGTAGGGTTTTCCCGCAGTATCTCCACTCCAGCTGTGACTGGGAAGTGGGAGGTGCCCGGCTCATGCCTTCTGTGGAATGGGAACTGTGGTGCTTTAGAGACATTTAGCAGGGTGCCAACTCAGGCAATCTTTGTTGAGCCTACTGTGTGTCAGGCACTAGTTCGGAGCTCACGGAGGCAGTTGGATCTATGTCTCATGGAGCTTGAATGGGAAAGAGGAAGATTGCAGTACAGGCTTAAGGACTCAAATGCTGGCACAGCTCTTCCTTACGTTTTTGAGCCTCAATTCCTTTATCTTTGTGCCTCTGTTTCCAAATCTGTAAAATGGGGGTGGTTAAGAGTATCACCAAAGGGTTGTAAAGACGACAGGGGGCCTCAAAGTGCTTTGCAGAGTAACGTTCTTATAATGTTAGGTGTTGACATCAAAACTAGTCTTAACAAACACTTGCTGATCTTGAAGAGGATCTGCGTTCAGTTCCCAGCACCCACATGGCAGTTCACAACTGTCTTATTACAGCAGTTCCCGGAGATCTGACACCCTCTTCTGGCCTCTGTAGGCACTGCACACACACAGAACACATACATACATGTAGGCAAAACACTCATACACATGAAAGAAAATAATTCAAGGTTATCTTCATCTACACAGTTACAAAGGCAGTTTGGCCAACATGACACCATCTCAAAAAGCAAGCAAGCAAAATGAAAGCCCTAGTCATAACAAAAAATAATAATTACCCAAATAAAGAAATAAAGCAAAAGGTTTAGGTAAGGTGAGCTAGATAAAGGTGGAAAGGACAGATCAGGATGACCCAGTAAAAATAGTCCCCTCATCCAATCTACCCTCTTGGGTTGAGCTACCGAACTCTCCCAATGCCAGCCTAGGCTAGGGGGTGGGTGGTACCACAAGCCTGAGCCAGCCTTTGGGAACAGTGGCTGACTGTGAGAGTACCACAGGGCCCCACAGCAGGCCAATCAGAGGGACCAGGTTCCAGAGGCCAGTGGGAAGTTTGCTCAGTCCCACTGGTGTCTTAATGTCTGCAGCTTGCACAGAACCGTTTGAGCTGTGTGACCCTTGAGTTCTCCAGGCCCAGGAGCTCAACCTGAATATCAGATGACAGCATTGACAACGTTGGTTCCGATGTCCTCAGTTCTGCTCACTATGTGTAACTCATCCAGTCCCCAGGGTGGGAGAGGGGCAAGGGCTTTGACACTCCCCCACCCTATCTCCGGCATGAGGGAGTGCTCCCTAAGCCCCAGGATCCTCCTCCAGAGTTCGGCAATTTGAATTCCATCCCGCACCCATCCTCCAAGCCTGATGTAATGTCCCCGATGGCATTGTCACCAGTCTCTCATTCTACCGGGCTGCCTTCGGTCTCCAAGACAGTACTCCCCCTAGATGGGCCCAGCTCTGCAGTAGACACAAACCAGAAGAGCTAGAGAATTAGACAGCATGAAGATGCACCTTGGTGCACAGATAGAGAAGCGAGCACAGAGCCTCCTCCCCACCCCAGGGGGAACAGGAGATGGGGGTTAACCCTGGGAGCTTCAGGGACCCAGGGCCACTTAAGTTCTAGTATTAGACTTTATGGAAACCAAAATATAGGCATGGGATAAAGCCCCGGGGCGCGCTATCATTGGCATGGAGGGAGGAGTAAGAGGAGGAAAAAGAGAAGGAAAGGGAGGAGGAGACTTCAATGCCCGTCTCCCTGTATGCCCTTGATTTGACTCCTCATCCCTGGGCTCAGACTCTTCAGCAAAAGGCAGGATTGAGATTAGAAACCGGCAGGCGTGGGGGGGGGAAATGGGGGAACAAACATACACAGCATCCCGTCAGCTGCTACCCAGCCCTCCTTTCCCTAGGTGCCCGAGTGGCTGGCCTCACTGTAGTCTGTTTTTGCTAGCTCCTGGTGCATCCTCGTCTCCATGGAAACTGCTCTTGTATCCCAGAGCTCTAGCTTCCTCCCCCTTCCCAACGCGGGCACTGAGACCTCAGTGAGATTTTTTTCCCTGTGCTTGCTCTCTCTCTCTCTCTCTCTCTCTCTCTCTCTCTCTCCCTCCCTCCCTCCTCACACACACACACACTTCCCTCTCATTTCTCTCAACTGGTCTCCCTCTTTTCCTCTTTCCGTCTGCCTTTCCCTTCATCTTTTCTTTCCTTCTCTCTCCTATCCTTCCCTCATTATGCTCAAGCCTGAGCTTCAACCCTCCTTTCTTCCTTTTCATTAACATTTGACCCCTCTATTCATTCCTTTTTCTTCCATCTCTGCATCTACCCCTCATCCTGTTCTCCCCCCCCCATGTGTGTGTGTGTGTGTGTGTGTGTGTGTGTGCCTCTGCCTTTTCCCTTGAACATCTCACAAGTAAATTCCCAGGATCCTTGACCCACACTGGGTGCCTAAGAGCAGTGTGTCATAGACACAGGCAAGCGTGATGTCTATCTTCAGCACAAAAGAGGCGTAAAATCAAGTCATCCCACTGGTTGTCATGTATGGGAAGACCTGTCTCAAAGGAAACAGGCTGGGAGCAGCCGGAGCAGAGGCCAGAGCAGGAGGGGCAGCTGGAGAATGCTGAGACAACCTCCCTGGCTCGTTGGCTCTGCAGAGCTCCGATGGTGGATGTGGGGCCTCAGGGGCTTCTCTAGAAATGGGAGAGAAGCTGAAGCCATTCCACTCAAGAAAAACCAGGCTGAGATGGGAGGGAGAGGAGTGACCAGAAAAGGTCAGCCTCACCCAAGTGCCCCAAGCATGGGGGATGTCATGCCACAGACAAGGCAGGCTTCAGCATTCTCACCGGCTGGATGAGGACACTGAGGCTGAGGTCTGGGGACTCTGAGTCTCTTTTGGAAGCCAAGAAATGGTCGAAGCATCAGCTGCTTCTGAGTCTGATACTCAGGTGGGGGGCGAAGTGTGCCACAGTTCTCAACCAGAAAGCCTAGAGACTTTGGGGCGGGGCCTACCCTGTCTACCCTGGGATGCTTAGCTTCATCCATGGCCTCCACCCACCAGATCACAGGAGCAAAGACATCCTGTTGCTTTAAAAATCCCTCCAAACATTTGGCAAGCATCACCTGAGAGTGAGGATTGCTTACTAAAAGCTACTGGTATAGAGGCAGGGGTCCTGGGAGTCAGCATTTCCACTGATTGACCCTATAGTCTAGGGTACTAGTGCTGCAGGCAGCCAGGAGGTGTTGTGACAAATTTAGATTGATAGTATCAGACTGGGGTAGAGCTCAGTGGGAGAGTGCTTGCATAAGGCCCCAAGTTCAGTGCCTAGTACTGCAATATAATAATAATAATAATAATAATAATAATAATAATAATAATAATAATCTGCTAATAAATTGCCTTTAACAATAATATTGAAGGTGGGTATGATGGCCTACACTTATAGTCCCAGCATTAGGGACAGCTTGGGAGGCTCATGAGTACAAGGCCAGCCTAGACTACATAGCAAGACCTTGTATCCAAAGATAAATAAACAGCACTAAACATTTAACTATAGGCCAGGGTGCTGAGCTCCTACATTTTTTTTTTCACCATTTCGTTTAATCCCATAAAAAAAAAAAATAATGGCCCACTAGATGGTTTCACGGGTAAAGGGGCTTCCTGTGCAAGTCCGATGACCCGGTTTCAATCCCCAGAACCCATGTAAAGACAGAAGAGAAAATGACTCAACAAAGTTGTTCTCTGATCTGCACTTGCGGTCTGTGACATGTGTGCTCACATGTACCCGTCACGGGCACACACAATAATAATACATACATCTTTTTTTTAATCTATGAGGTTGACAGAAGCGTCACCCCATGACATAAGCGTCATGTTATATTTTAAACATGTGTATATTTTAAACATGTTTTTGTTTTAATCCCAGGTGTGGGATGTGGGACTGATTCAGATGGTCCACAGCAGCAAACTATTTGCCTCGTGCAGGCTCTGAGAGGAGCAATCTGCCAGCTGCAGATAGTTTAAATTGGAGGACTCTGGAGAGAGAATAAATGCCAGGGCCCAGAGAGTGTGGGGAGTAGCTCCGAGAAAGAACGGGCTGCTGCTGCTGCTGCTGCTGCTGCTGCTGCTTCCCCCCTGCAGCTCCTGTTGCTGTTGATGCAGTAAGACAAGAAGTGGGAGATCTCCAGAAATGAGGACTGGGCTGGCTCCAAGGAACCCGACGACCCTAATCAGCAGAAAGCAGTTAAGAGAACTGTACCCCCTCTCCCACTAACCCTTTCTCTCTCCTACCTGGTGTTGGGGTATTAGAAGAGATTGGGATGGAGTAGGGAGAAAGAGATATAAAAAATGTAAATAAAAGAGTTTTTAAAAAGGGTGCCAACAACCCCCACTTACAGATGAGAGACTGAGCCTCCGAGGGACACAGCAGGGAAGTGGCAAAGCCTGAATTCAAGCCCAGACAGGTACTTCCTGTTTACCTTTGGACAGACTCCTTTACATTTTTTAATTAATTAATTTACTGTGTGTGAGTGTTTTGCCTGCATATACATATATGCACCATTTGTGTACCTGGAACTGGATTACAGATGGTTGTGAGCCACTATGAGTGTGCTGAGAC